TTAAATTAATTAATTAATTAAAGGTTTTATCCAAATATAATGACAGAAAATCAATAAAATCATTCACCTAAGTAGCAAATATATAATTCATCCTTTTTCAGTATTAAAATATAAGAGTTAAAAATGTGAATAAATATATATAAACTACTTGCTTAAATAAATTTATAAAAATAGATGTATTACATAAATTCATAAATACAATTCACTAGCAAGGAGAGAAGCACAAAATCAATCTACTGACAATTAACTTTTTTGAAAAATAATTCCAAGATAAAAATATAAATAACATTAAAAATACTGAAATCACACTTTCCTGTTCACTTATTTATGTCATGATTGGTTAATTAAATCACCCTGACTTAACATCAGCCCATCCCTTTTATATGCTGTTGCAATTAAAACAGTATAAATAGTTTTATAATAAATACAATCAATAACTTAAGACATTAATCTTTTAAATATTAAATTAAACTAGATGATTTAGTTATAATATGTAGAAGATCAAGTACATTATCAGTGTTCCTGGCATCAAACTGATCACACAACTACTGATAGTTCACATTTAGCCAAGTCTCTAGTATCTTAAAGTTATATTTTTCATCCTGTCATGTTACATTTCTGCTGAAGAGTACATTTTTGTTGTATTTTGCATGATTTGTTTATATTTCTGTAAAACCTGCCAGATGTACGTCTTCTTCTCTGCAGTATTCATCCCCTGGACCCGACTAGGATCCGTCTGCAGAAGATCCTCCTTCTTGCAGTTGTAAAACGCGGTTCCTTCACTCACCGTCGCACTTAACTGATTGATACTTGCTTCGACAAGCTGAGTAAAATTCTTACCACAGATTAATTCTATATCACTCCTCAGGTTTTGCAAAATGTTGTGAAAAATATGGAAAACACAGCAATCTGCATCAAAAGCGGGACACTCGGGTATTTTCTTCACCATGTCTTTAGCCTGGGAGTCAGCAGTTAGCCAGCTTGCGGTTTTGGGCGTTACAGAGCTGCACAGGTTCTGGAAAGGAGGAGGAGGAGGAAAGAGAAATTATTAATCTTTTGCTTTACATCTTTCCTGGTAGTCGCTTCACATTTGAATCGTCTGGGTGCACACGCACCTCTCTCCCGGTTTGTGTACACCTGGGGGTTTTTTGTTATTGTTCCATAGCTGTGTTAACACCTACACTCGCTTTACCCAGTAGGTATTGCACGCTGTGGCTACGCTTGTGCAGCACTTTCTGTCTGAATAGACTGCTGGGATTTGTTCTCAGATTTTCTAAGTCTTCTTTTTTTTTCTTTGCCATATGGGCAAAATTTACTCATTTTTACTCAAATCTCCTCGAGAGATACGTTTTGACCTGAGCATATTTCTATCTATTTCAGCAGAGATGGTTTTGATTTCAAGAATTAATTCGGGGGAAATGTTTCCCTTGATTTTTATCAATGTACTGTTGGGAACACATTCCCAAGAACTGAAATTTGTCTGAAATATTGACACTTGCACATTTTACCATTCAGTTCAGTGCACATTTTACCATCTCTGAGGAATGGACGGGCTGAGCAGGATTTTTGGCAGAATCACAGAATATTAGGGATTGGAAGAGACCTTGAAAGATCATCTAGTCCAGTGCTCCTGACTGCTCTAGTAATAGGATCAGACTGAAGAGCCAGGCTGACCAGTTTCATCCAAAAAGATGCCTGCTTCGAGCCTAGTGTGACTAGGGAGACTGAGAAAGAGCGATGCATTTAGTCTGGAAGGTCACAGCTAGCAGTTACCTGAGGCGAAGCTGGCCAGACAGAGAAGAGGCTATTTGAGGTTCTATCCCAAATCTTTATTTTCTGATGGTCCTTCTAGTATTTTAAAGTAATTCAAGAGATGTCTCCACAGACATAGACACAGCAAATGCAAAATAATACACTTACATAGTTCTTAACCAAGGTGGTCGCTTGCTTTTCTATCACTGATGCTAAGGTCTTTATTCTGGTAGTATTAAATTGCTTCTGTCTCTGTCCTATAGTAGATTTGCTTTCTTCTGAGGTGGCTGTTGGTGCCAAGGACCCCAAAGGAACCAGTGAACAGAAGAGGAAGATTGCAAACCTGTTGATCTCTGCATTCAAATGAAGAGGGGGGGAGAGGGGGAAGAAAAAAAGAATACAATTATTAATCTCAAGCTTCTACATAATGTCTGCAAAACTTCCTGGTTTTGTGCAGCGTGTTAAGTTTCTAAAGCTTCTAGACATTAAGTGGCTGAGCTTAGCGATGAATATCAACCGATGCAACCTTACAGTGCCTAGCAAGGTTAAATTGCACCCACCTGCTCGGCGTTTCATGGTGGGCTTGGAGAGCAGCTGATGGCTGAAAGCTAGCTGGATGTCGACGTTCAAGCTGCTCGTTGCCTGGAGTGCTGGAGATGTGGACAGCCAAGCTGCATTTTAAGTACTGTGGAGTTTTGCGTCAATGGCTCCTTCATGGTTTTGGGGGTTTTTTTTGCGGGTGATAGTTTGTGGCTTTTTTTCTTTTTTGAAAGATTACATCAAAAATTGGTTCAAATGCGTCTTCACTGATTGTGATCTAGATGCAGTTTCAAACTGACACAGATAGTGTCCTGTATCATCTGTTTGACCAGGAGTTCAGGACACTTGGCTTCGCCATCCCATCTAAATCCTTGGGCTCTCCAAAATGTAGGAATTAGAACATAAGCTCTGTTGCATTTTTTTTTAAAAAACACAGTCTGATCATGCAAGCACATTGTTGGTGCCCAAAGCCAGCAACCTTCTCCTGCAGGGTCAGTGCAAGAGTGGGTAACATGGGGTCCGAAAAAGCCATGAGGGGCTTGTATGCAAGGCAGGTCAGACCTCCAGGTCAACATATAATCCTTTTGCTGGATGTCTGGAAGACCCTGTACCCAAGGGAAAAATCATTCCTAGGATTTCCAAGTATGAGGCTGTGATTGGAAGAGGACCTGCAGAACTACTGGGAGTTTAGGACAGAAAGGAGGGCAGAGGAAACCCCTATGAACATACATTTGTGAGAATGCAAAGTGACACATACACTCTTGGGCTTTCCACCTCTGTGATAAAAGATCTGCCTGAAAGGTAGTCATAGATTCAAAGGTGAATGTCAAGTCACCAGAAAACTTTCAAGGAACAACAGATTGGTGTCAAAATAATCAGTTCCATTTTGCATGTGAAATAATCTCTCCCTGAAGATAAAAAGCTTGATGTGCCCACGAACTCTTCTGAAGCACCTGGGACTGATCCAAGGACTCTGGGCTGAGCTGATTCCCAAGGCTTGAAATGGGAACGGACGTTTCCCCTGTACCATGTCGCACTCGGGTCCCACCAGCCTGTAATTTCAGATCTCAGTTATTTGCTTGAAGCCTTCAATAATGGAGATTCACAAACTGAACGTGGTTCTGCCGCGTGCTGTGAGGGAGCCCTGACAGCCAAGCAGGAGATGCAGCCATCCCACGGGAATGCATTTCTTCTTGCACCACACATCTTGCCAGGTGCTGAATAACTCAAAGAAAGAGATTGAGTTATCATGGCCTATGGTGTGAAGCAGCAGACAGCATAGCAGAGTGCTGGAGAAGAACCAGAAGAGGACAGTTCTGGCAGATACTTTTTTATTGGGGGGTTTTATTGTTATTTTGGGGGTAAAATGGAGAGGAGAGAGATGCTTCTTTGTGCAGGATGTTCTTTAGGAACATCCCTACAAAGCCGATGATGGGTACAGATGGTTCCTTTCAGGCAGAAGGATGATCTTGGAGGTTTGCTGCTTTGGAAGCATCAAAAAAGCCGAGAGGTGCAGCTGGTGAGTGCCCCACAGCACACTGCAGGATGTGTGGAAGGTGTGTGAGCTTGTGCATACAAGAGACCATTGGGTAGTGGGCACTGCCAGTCCCCTTCCAACTGCCCCAGACGGGTACAGCCAGGGAGGACAGACAAGGAATCACAACCGTTCTTCCTCCGAGAACAGGGAACATCTCTGCGCAGCATCGAGGGCAACAGGGCCTCAGTATTTTTAAGTGATACACATAAGAGAAGCAGCATTCTTACAGCTTGGCTTTTCCATGAAACATGGTTCAACCACTGGGAATGCTTTTCCAAAGATTTTTAGAAGATTTTACTTCGTTGTCTATGAGCTGAGGATAGCAGTTTGCTGGTTGTTTCACTCCATGGCATGCCACTGTCTGTCGGCGTGTGCATGCTCTGCACATCCTTTCCTATGTACACGGCCGTGATAAGCTGCTGAGCTGATAAGGGAGAAGATGAGCATCCGTCCTGTGAAACCCAACCCAAGTGGAAGTTCAGCTTTCCACCACGTAACCACCAGATGCCACAGAGCGTCTGCAATTCATGTGGTGAAGTTTTGCTGACACAGGTTACCGTGTAGGCTCCCTAAAATGGAATTTGTAGCCATTGCCTCAGCACCTATCGCTGGAAAAAGCAAATAAACCTCAGAGCACGGAGACCTGGATCTGACCTGAGATAGAGCTGTGACTTTGGTTCCTGAGACTCATCTACTTTTTCCAAGTGTAGGAGCCGGTACTTTTAGTTGTGAACTTTGTTTTCCGATGGCCTTGCGCTGCTGTGGCGGTGACACCTTCCACGCCAGTGAAGAGCAGAGCTTTTACAGCTAACTGAGAACCTGACTGCTTCCTCCCTGAAACTTGAGTGACACTCAGGATGTAGATAAGTGAAATGACAAATGCCAATGCCACAGGTCCTTGGCCAGGGGACGGGGCTGACGCTGCACCCTGCAAATGCTGCCTGAGACCACGTGGTCTTTCCCTGGTGGGGAGCAGCCCCCCCAGAACCCAGGGGGATTCAGGAAACCAAGGGTTTATTCCCAGCTTGGGGAGCTCGGTGCCATCCCAGGCTCGCTCCATGGCCCCGCTTGCAGAGCTTGGTTCCCTGGTCCCCAAGGCATCCGCGTCCTCGCCATCACCTAGCAACAGGGACCTGCTGAGCCAGGGAATTCCCTGCCGGGCTGGGGCTGGATGGGAGCGCCCACCCCCTGCAGCGTCTCGGCTGCTTTTTGGGATCACCTGCGGCGCCTTGGTCTGCAGGACTTCCCCTGTGGCCTTGGCAGCTGGGTAAGGGGCTGGGGGGACAGAGCCGTGGGACATGGCAGGGGGGCTGCAGGGCTGTCACCACCTCTCCCCTCTCCTTCTCTGCAGAACAAATCCTGCTTCAATGCACACAGGAGCCCTCGCCAAGGCCAGCCAGGGCTGGGGCCAAACCCAGCCAGGCAGGAGGAGGCCCTGCTGCTGGATGAGGAGAGCCCCGAGGTGCTGATGGAGCTGCTGAGTGACCGGCACAGCCCCTGGGCCCTGCCACCAGGCTGCAGCCCCCAGGACCAGCACCTGCGGGAAATGGCTGTGCTGGCACCTGAGCTCGTCCATGGCTCCAACCTCTTCCAGGTCTTCAGGTCCCTGCGGATCACTGGCAAGGGAGTAAGTGCAGCTGTTGGTGCCCATAAAACTGCCCATCTCCAGGCCAAGAAACCACATCTTCCTGTTGGGAGGGAAAATATCCTGGGAAAAGGACACCTTCCCCATCCCAGGGTCTTCCCAGGTGCCAGTATTGCAGCTGGGATAGAGCTGCTGGCTCCCTCACCCAGCATGTTGCACTAATCCTTGTTACATGTGTGTCACATAGATCAATACTACATGGCCATGTCACCTTGGCTATAAGGTGCCTCAGGGACACATTGACCAAGCCCAACTCTTTGCAGGTGGAGGAGGTTGACAAGGGTCTGTTGCAGTTTCAGCAGCTGGAGGAGCTCATCCTCAGTGCCAACCAGATCAGCAGGATAACCTCGGCCAACCTGCCCCGGACGCTGAAGGTGAGTGAGCGATGCCTTGTGACAGCAGGATGGGGAAGGAGATCCCATTTGGGAGCACAGCAGGAGCCAAACAGCTCATTGCAAAGTGTGTCTGTTGTTCCCTCTGTCCCGGGCAGGTCCTGGAGCTCTGCTGCAATGCTGTGGGTGATCTGCAGGACCTGTGCACTCAGCCTCCTCCAGAGCTGCAGCACTTGGGGCTGGGGTACAACAGGCTGTGTGGCCCTTTGCAGGACAAGTACCTCACTGTGGACTTCTGGTAACACAGCAGGCTGAACATGGGCTTCTGAAAGGGAGGTGGGCAGATGTGCACAGATGACCTCAAACCATCAAGCTGGCCCATCATGTTAAGAAATTACAGCTCTTCAGCTGTTGTTTCTTTGCTTTGCATCCAACACTCACACAAAATCCTCTATCTCTGCTCACTGTCTTCTGTCTCATGCTTAGAGGGTGCCTTGATCTGTGGCCAAGGTGTAGAATGGGGAGATCACCTGAGGATCTCCTGCCTTGACACTCTGCCCACTGCAATTCCTATGTCCCTGGGCAGCTTCCTTTTTCTGTGCCGAAAGTCTCTGCTGGAGTCTGCCCAGGGAAGGATCTAAAGCTTGGGCTGCATCACTGAGTGATACAGCGGGGTGGTTACTGGTTGTTAAAGAAACATGGTTTTGAGTTGTGGGGCAGACTGGCAATGGACCATATGGCTCCAGAGTCTGGAACTGGCCTCTTGAGATTGTCCTGTTGGGTTCCCCAGTTTGACACAGTTTGTTCTGGGGAAACACAGTTTTTGTTTCTTTTTTTGGCCCAGGGCAGTAGCTCTCTATCCTCAGATGGATGTTATTTGCCTAACCCTCTTCTCTCCTCAGGCCAAATCTTGTCTCCCTTGACCTGAGCTTCAACAACTTCACAGACCTACTGGGGTTAGTCTCCCAACTATCCAGTCTGCAGAAGCTCCGTATCCTGGTGCTCGAAGGGAACCCGCTGGCTCTCATTCCCACTTACAGAGGCTTCCTCGTGGACAGCCTGCCCAAGCTCTCCATCCTCGATGACATCCACGTAGGGCCTGATGAGAGGCACCAGTTCCATGGTTTGGCGAGGCAGCCAGGTGAGCCTTTGCCTTTGAATCTGACTGTGCTGACCCTGTGATTCGGGAGGTGTTTTCCTCATATGGTTGAGCTAGGAGTCCTCAGGGCAAGCTCTGGACCCAGAGTTGACTTCCTTCTTGCCTCTCCTCAACTGGAGATCTTTCTCTGTACCTTTTTACCCCACTAGTACAAGTGGGGAAACAGGCAGAGGACCCTGCAGCAATGTAATTACAGTCGAGGTAGTTTTAGCCTTAGTCAGGTCCAAAGATTCATGAACAACCTGGTCCTAGCACTGTCTCAGTGCCATGGCTTGCCCCCAGCTTTGCTTCCTGGACGCTGTCTGGTTTCAGACCTTGTGTTTCCCTCTCGAGCTCCTGAAACAGGAAGATCTCCACTGGGGAAGATGCTCACATGGGTACTGCACTGTCAGTACAAAGCAGTGCCACCTCTGCAGTGTGGCATATCTGCAAGTGGGACAAGAGCCAGGGGGCTGGGGACACCCAAGGGTGGGAAGCCCCTCTTGATGGCCCCTACTCAATGAGTTTATGCACTGGATGTGCTCTTTGGAGTCTAAAATGTTAACCATGGAGGCAAAGCAGCCAAGCCAGGAGATGTTTGTGTGGCTTTGGAGTGACCCCATGTGGCAATGGCTTGTCACAGCGTTAGCACAGCGTGGCAGGGAGGGATGCCAGTTGGTGGGACATGGCCTCCTGGAGGTTTCTGCTTGCTTTGTACCTTCCTCACTCTGGAAGGAACATGCTGCAGCTTCATAGTGAGCTTGTCTTCCTTCCAGAGCTGATCAGGAGTGAAGCACGAGTGGTTGTCAGTGTTGGGGAAATCAAGGGAGTCCCTGATCCCAGCACTTATCAGCAGCTGGAGGTTGGCTCCGAGGCTCCGGTGATCACCTACAGCTACTGTGTGACGTATGAGTTTGTGGAAGAAGAGGACATCAAGGATGGTAGCAGCACTGAGGTTTGTGCTTAACTGAGCTCCTGAAAGCAACAGGCAGTGGCAGGTCACAGCAAGGGAGACTTCACCTCCAGGCTGTGAAGTGAGACCATTCGTAATGGAACTCACATGTGGCCACATCTGGCAGCACAGGTCCCTGCTTCCCATGTTCCCTGTAGCTCTTGGGAAGCCCAGCAGTGCTCTGGATGTGGAAGTGCATTCACAGCCCCCTTCCTGCTGCAGTAGACCCCTTCCCTGGTGCTGGTGCCCCTTCTTCCTGTGATGGAGGTGGGCTGGGGCAGCTCTGTCCCCTGGTCCTGATGCAGACACAACTAGACATCCCCTGCCAAGAGATCCCTCTCTGTTCCAGGTAACAGAAATCCATCAAAGTCCCGTGGTGGCCACCCTGGGTGTGGACAGCTCTGCTCAGAACACAGGAGAAGCAGAGAGCCAGCAGGAGCCTGCAGCCACGGAGGACCCCAAGGCCCATGCTGGTAATGAGGAATTATAAATCCCCTGCCCCACTGCTCAGGGCATGTTTATGGCTTTACCTGGCATGTGGTGGCATTAGGACGTCCCTCACAGTGTTGGCTGCTGCTGGGCTCTTACTGAAACTTATGGATAATGAATTGGTACCAAATATGGCCCTGGGAGTCCTTCTTTCCTTGGGAAAGAGAGGTGTCTCCTCAGCTTTTCTGTGTTCCTGCACAGCAAAGGTGTTTGTCACCCCTGTAAAGCCCTGGGCAGACACCATCGATTGCAGCTACAGGAAGGAGCACACTGCCAGGGACCTGGTGGGGCTGAAGTCCTACCTAGCAGCTGGAACAATTGTCTCGGTTGTGGAGGAGAAGGTGAGCATGCAGCAGAGCTGGATGAAAGGGGAAAGAGCTGGTGGGAGGCCCAGCAGTGGTATTATGTTCCCTCTGGGAGGTTGCCTGGGATGGTGGTGATCCTGGGCCATGGTCCTCAGGTGTCCCAGCCCCTGCAGCACCAGCTTCTCTCTCTGGGCAGGTGCTCTCATGGCCTGTTGATGCTGATCCAGAAGAAAGTGCAGTCACGAAGGGGAAGGCAAAACAGGGGCTGCAGAAGGACAGTGCCAAGGTAGGATTCTGGGAGAAAACAATGTCTAAATAACACCTGCACTGCAAAAATAAGGATGGGCCAACAAGAGCCCTTCTCCTGGATCAGTTTGGTGTGTTAAGAGAACCTCCCCTCCATCCCAGACCTCTCGCCAAAGTCCACCCTTGCTATGGGAGGAAGGCAGCAGCGGTTCTACACACATCTCAGTCAGGATGCAGTGGTGCGCAAGGGACTGGGTTGGGATTGATACAGGGACCCCAACTCTCTGCTGAAGCTTGTCCCCATGCTGGTGCCCTGCAGGGTTCTGTGCCCAGGGACAAGCAGAAAAAAAATAAGAAGGAGAAGCAGAAGCCGTGTGAATTCCGCAGTGACCCTCCCATTCGGAGGACCCTGGGCACCAGGAGGGTGACCCTGGAGACCCTGCTGACCACTGAGGACCTGGTGGCAACTGTGTGTGACTTTGGGATCCTGATCACTGAGCAGCCTCTGCAGCTGCCAAGTCTGGAGGAGAAGGTGAGGAGCATGTCCCGGGGCAGGGCAGTGAGGCAGGGCTGCTGGGGACGGGTAGCGCCGCAGGCTGGGGTGAGCACAGCACGGGGTCCCTCCCGTCCATCCCTCAGATCTCCTTGTCATAAAATGGGGCTGAAATGATCCTGCCTGAGCAGCACCCATCACTGCTGCTATCGTTATTAACGCTGATGTTAGCAATGAGTATTGCTGCTCTTTATAGGCCAAGATTAAGAAAACAGATGAGTTTGTTTTTCCATCTGAGAATGTGAAAGTAATGCTTCCTCTGATGCTCTGTCTCTCTGCATGGCAACACACACCAGCTGTACTGACACCTTCTATTTCCTGGATTCTCTTCGAGCAGCCCTGCTGCTGTGTTCCTGCTTCCCCTCACCCCTTTCCTTTGTCCTTTAAATCCCAGTGACAGAACCCAGATGGTGATGGCTGTCACAGGACTGAATGCGGGCAGTGAATTTCAACACAGCCTGACTATGGAAACATCTTTCTCCACAGGAGAGCAAAAAAGGCAAAGAAAAGAGCAAAAAACCAAAAGCAGAGAAAGAAAGTCAGGCCAGCCGGAAAACCTCGGCGTCTGCCAAAGGTGACGGAGACTGGAGCTGGCTGGGTGGAGGGTGGCAAGTGCAAGAGCAAACAGCAGTAGTGCCCGGCCGGGAGGCAGCCACAGGTCCCTGCCACACTGCCAGCCCTGCCGAGCTGGGCGCTTACTCACATCCTGAGTTTCGGGCTGTGAATAAATCCATTGACTGCGGGGGCTGCAGGCTCAGACACACGCCCGGACACCTTGTTGAATCAGTGATTGAACAAGTACCCAGGGTGGGCTGCCGGCTGTCCTGGGAGCGACACACACCTACCAGCTCTGTGTGCCAGGGAGAAGGGCAAAGCAGATTTCGGGGTGAGGGATGTGCTGCCCACCTTGTTGGCTGACAAATGTGGCCAGTGGTGCGGGCAGCTGCAGGGAGTGCTGTCTGGGGTGTGTAATAAGGTTCTCATCCATTTCCAACTCACATCTCAAAGCACTTTGCAGAGGGGATTATTGTTCTTTCTGGTTTAGAGATGAGATGCACAGAGAGCCCATGGCAGGGCCAGGAGCAGACCCTGGTCTGCTGTCACCCATGAGGAGACCACCCTGACCCCTGATGAGTGTCCCCTGCTTCCCCAGTGCAGAGCTCACAGTCTGCTCAGCCAGCAGCGTTGCTTAAACCACTGGAGACAAACCTCAGCCTGCCTCTTGCAGGTTGTTTTTCCAGCAATCTTGTTTTCACAACAAAAATAGCAGTGCCAGCACATTGGAGGGGTAATGCAAGAGGAGGAGGAAGTGGAGGAGGGAAGGGGTGTCTGGGCGATGCTGGGAAGCTGCTCGTGGGTCAAGGAGAGCATGGAGCGGGCCAGGCTTCCCCAGCACCACTTGGAGCTACCAAAGGAGCCTCATGTTCCCACTCTGGCATCAGATTTAGTTGCTGATTTAAAAGTGCAATTAACCCCCTTCCCCAAGAGCTCTGGGCTGCTTTAACATGGCTTGTCACCCACAGCGAGGTCCTCATCTTTGGGGAGGATCTCAGAGCCCCGTGGTCCTAAGCTGTGCCTGTGCTCAAGGAAGCCTGACAGCCTTCCCACCTACCTAAAAAAGGGAAAAACCGCTGAATTATCATTCCCTGCAGGAAGATGTGCATTTGCAGTGTCTGCTCAGACTGCTGCTGAAGCAGGGAGCTGCTGTCAAGCTACTGGTGCTTTTTACTTCCTTTCCACCCCAGTGCCTGTGGTCACTGTGCTTGTGGGAGGTTTTCCCCTCTGCTTGAGCGAGAATGAACCCTCTCTGAGGGGGCTGTGTGGCCGGAGGTGGTGTTGGGTGCACAAAAAGCCACTGCTGATGCAGGAAACCCAGAGTGATTAGAGACTCCTGCTTAAATTTGGTGTCCCCTTACACTGTGCAGGTGGAGGGTGGCTGGTCACCTCCCCAGGCTGCTGCACAGCGAGGCCAGGGAGTGCATATTTCATAGTGCTTCAAATTCAGCTGCCCCCACAGCTTGCTACACCCAGTGCCGACAGCGTCCCGCTCCACTGTGACTCACGACTCACAAGCACACCCTGATTGTGACTGGGGTGGCAAACACAGCTCGGGGTGGGGGGCAAGTGACCTGCTTGAGCAGTGGCTACAAGCCCTGGCTGCTCCATGAGTCACCAAATCGCACCGTGGCTGTTTGGCACTTGCTCATCACCCGTGTGGCACATACCACCTTGAAGCTGTGGCAGCGACCATGTGCTGAGGCACCAGTGATGGGTTCCCAGCCCTTGGCTCCGCTGCAGCCGTGCGTCCAGCGAGGCTGCGTAGGGACCGGCACTCTCGCAGCTGGGAGCTGAGGTTGATTTGCATCCCTCAGTCGGCAAATGCACACAAATAATAAGTCCTCTCAGAGGAATTGGGATCCCTTCCAGACAGCTCAAAGAGGAAAGGCAGTGAGCTTTGTCCCCAGCAATTTGCCCAGACACTGAAGGATGTCTTCGGAAGTAGTCTCACGTAGGTCTCATTTTACCCCACACTTGATTTTCCAGGATCCCTGGAATGATTTATTTCTGCAGCTTTCTCTTTTTTTTTTTTTTTTTCCTAGGAATTATAGGAGAATTTTAACAACAAAAATCAAAATTGCACCCAGATTGATTGCCAGCTTAAAATAGACTTTTTGGGCTTCTGACCTAAAGCTGTATTCAAATCGATTTTCCCTCAAGGCCCACAAGTCGGTGCTAACGCGGTGGGCATTCCCCCCTTGCACACTGCTGCTTTGAGGTGATTTCCCCTGTAAGGAGAGTGACAGATTTACTT